CGCCGCCACATCTGCCGGCGGACGGAGAAGGGGCCGAGGCGGGGAACGGCGCCGCCTCGCCCCCCGCCTCCCAGCAGAGGAGCGGGCCCGCCCGCCCTCACCGGCTGCCCGTTCGGGAGGGGGGGGAGCGGGAGCGGCCGCCGCGCCCCCGCGTCACGTAGGGCCCATCCGGGTCCCGCGCGGGCGGGGCCGCCGAACGGGACTGTCCCCTCACTGGGGGCGGCAGGAGCGCTCATCCCGCGCTGCTCCCACCGCCGGGCCCTGGGTTGGGGTTTTTTTTTTCCTCATTTTTGCCCATCTGTGAGGGAAAAGATCCCGTATCTCAGGGGTTAATTGCCGCACCTCACTGCCCTCGGTCCCGGGACAGGCGGCTCCGTCCCGGGCGCCCCGGGGAAAGCGAGGGGCAGCACCGCCGGCTGCCGGCGCTAGGGGGGGCTGCAGGGCCGCTTTTGCCCACAACGGTAAAGATTTGGTAAATCGGTACCAAACTGTAAAATTAACTTATTTCCCTTCAGTCACTGGTGGTTTTACAAACACACGTTAGCGATCTCAAAATGGAATTGTAGTAACAACAACAAAAAAAACCTGGAAAACCTGTTTCAAATCCTAATTGTGGAAAGAAGATAATTAAAAGATTTCCTCTCCTCTTTTGGAAGAGTGTATTTCTTCCCTTTACAGGGGTGGAGAAGGCTGAGGCCACCTTCAGTACACCAAGAAGCACTGAAGGGACAAAAAAACCCCCACAAAATCCATCCCCAAAATGCCTTACTTGAATAATCACCTTCCACACTGACTGATGGATGCTCAAAGCTTCAGGATCCAAGTTTCCCCATGGGGTTTTGGGCAGCAGTGGCACCTGTGAGCACAATTGCTCGAGGAACAAATCCAGTGGGCTAAAAATTACCTACCTTTTCCTGCAGGAAACAAATCTCATGTTACTCTCTTACACCTCTCTGTAGGATACTCTTCATTTGCCTTTTCCTCACCACTCAACTATTAAAAGCAAACAAAACACATTCAACTGCAAACTTTAAAAATTAAGAGAATCCAAACCCAGGCCATTAGATCACATCTTCCATCAGAGTAATACATCAATATCTTGAATTATTTAAATCTTAACTCTGAGGCAAACACATTTAAAAAAAAGAATCAATCACATTTAAAGCATTTATTTTGAAAAATAAAATACAAAAGATCATTGAATTGTAATTGTACATGTAATTTATCAACTTTTTTTTTTAAATAAAAGATATTTAACAATTTCCACATGTGAATAAAACAAACAACTGTTCCACCAAAAATCTTGTAGGACAACACAGACCACTCTTTTGGAAGCTTCATACATTTAAAACCAAACTGCTACAGGAAAGAAAAAAAAAATCCCTTGAAGATGGAGTTTTGTAATTAAGACAGAATAGCAATTTTGGAGACAGGCATTACTTTGCACTTTTTAAAACCTTAAAAAAAATAGTTGTGCGAATGTAATACGGTTCTACAGTAACATCAGTGATTTCTTTTTTTTTTTTTTTAAACAGGTTTACATGCGCTCACAACAGCAACATTTGGAAGAAAAACAGTATGAAAGAAATGGGGGAGAAAATTCTGAAAAAAGGAGGCCATGAGCAGTAACCTCACTCATCTCAGCGGGACAGTCCCTATAAGATCGTTTCCATCGAAAAGGCAGCAGTCTGGAGAAGAAAGGAGAAGAAAAATAAAGTTATGCAATGTAATATTCTGGTTTTATCCCTGACAACATTTTGTAAATACAAATAACATGTAATTGAGAGTAATCGCTGTTATCTCAGTAGGTGAAGAGTCACTGTCAAGGCTAAAGACAGCCACTAAGAACTTCCCTGCAAGGAATGTGCCTGCTTTTTCCATCGTTTATCACTAGAGTTATTTCTTGGGGGTTATTTAGATGTAAGAAAAAATAAAATATCTGAATTTCCACTTATATGCTGAAAGGGTCTCTTTCATTACAATGCACCAGTGGCAGTTACTGCTGGGAAGTTCACAATCTGCTTTCTCAGAAACTAGACAGCAGCTTTAGACAGAAATATTGTAGTTTTAAATCCGTTTTTCCAAGAGGTAAGTGGCAAAATCAAGTAGATGTTTTAGTCATTTTAACATTGACTATGTGAAAAGATTATGGTTTCTCTATCGATTTCAGAATGAAGGCCTGCAGTTAATCTTTGGAAATCTTTTAGATCCATTATTTCTAATTGCTGTGATGGTTCTGGCTGTATTTAGGGCTATAGAGAGTGCTATATTTATGGCCACATAATAAATATCAACACTGGGTATGTGTGAGGCGTGTTGCTTTGGGCTATATTTAAACTGGATGCATTTTGCCATCTTTTGTTGTCAAGCCAGAACATTTGATGACCCAGCTGGCAAGTAAAAATCCTGGAATAATACAGTAAATCTTGTGCCATTCCTTCGCCAACTAGTCTGGAATTTACCGAGGTCCTTGCACAATCTTGCCATTGTTCATTCAACAACTAAAATGCAGTTTATTTAAAATACTGGCTATGGAACATATTAAAAGCAAGTTACACAGATCAGCTCATCTTCAGCAATTTCCTCTATCTAGAAAGGGCAATTGATTTAAAAACGAGAGACAAAGATGATTAAGAGTCGTCTTTAAAGTTTCACTATTTTAAAATGGGGCCTGAATCTGTTGTGTGCCACAGCACTGAAAGACACACGGATACTAAAGACAACAAGAAACTGCTAAGGAACACCAGGCTGAGCAGGGGGGCAGTTTTATGGACTCATTTTGATTCCAAGCTCTAAATGGGCACTGACAATCCAACAGCAAACACCACAAACTGCCATGAACCGTGCTGCGAGTCTTCAAGCACCTGAACTATGCTTTTGTAGCTCCCACCACTAGCACTTACCTCAGTGTGATTTTTACACCTTCTGAATCAAGATCCAGATCTTCATATTTTTATTACCCAGAATCTCACATGGGGTTATGCAAGTTAAAAAAAGGTCACATTAACTAAATCAAGAAGCAGCAGCGAGCAGGACTGCACGCTCTTTTATTACCTTCTGTGCAAGAAATATCCATCGCATCTTCTATTCCATAGGTTCAGTCTGTCAAGTAAATAATTAAAATGAAATTAGCTATTTTACATTAGAGGAAAAGATACCATTATGAGCACCATCTAGCTCTTTAGTTACATCATGTTAATTTTATCTTTAGTATAATACTAAAGGAGAACACTATCAGCATCAATTTCAACTCCAGCGTTGGTTTTTATGGTTTAAGAAATATTCTCTTACTATTTCACAAAGCTTATTTTTGCTTTTTAGATGATCTTTCTTTACTTTGGATAAGTCTTCTTAAAGTTTGGTAAATACTGTAATCACACCATGCTAACTTGTATCAATCCACCTCCTGAAATTTAGCAGAGTCCCATATGAAACCTCCCTATCACATGGATTGGAAGAGGGCATTTAAAGAAACTGGTCTGCTCCTTCTAGTATTACAAGATAACTGGGATATATGGACAGCATAATTTAACTCTCAGATACTGCAGGCAGATCAAGGATCATTTATTTTGATACTGCAGGCAGATCAAGGATGGTTTATTCTGCTGGCACACTATCTATACAGTGTGTTAAACTTTAAAGACAGCTCATCTCCCTGCATTTTCCAGAAATCCTTATCAGCAATATTTAATCTCCTTCTGTTTCGACACTCTGTGCCTGCAGCTATATGCGCTGCAGCTTTATCTGTAAGGTTGTAGATCGTGAAATAACCACAATAATTGCATTTGAAAGCATGAAAAGTAACTACAGCACACTTTCTCCATACAATTTGCTGACAATAACTTTTAAGCAGCACACGTTTCAGTAGCTGTCTCGCCGCTAAGCTGCATAGACATTTTGGCCAGCAGTTGAGAGTGAACAACGCTGTGAGCAACAGCACAGGTAGCTGCGTGATGCCAGGTCCTTAATGGTTTTTCTATTAGCTGTGCAAAACTGGCAAAGCATGAGCACTGACTGGTCAAAGGGTGAGAGCAGGCAAACATCCAGTCAAAGAGCAAAGCCCACATTAGAGACCACAAAGATTTATCAGAAAGATTTGGTGTCCACAGCAAAAAGTTATATTCTGAAAACATGAAACAGACACTACGGCTATTCGACTTTACTGATCCATGTTCATTTTATCTTGCCACGAGACTTCCTTTCTATTGTCTTCTTTGGCTGGAACAAAAGAAACCAGTTTTCCTTTTTAATCAACCAATTTTTGTTTGAATGAACGGAGTAAGTCAAAATGCTTTCTTTGCACGTGGTAGATTCTCCTGTGTATTCTTTAACCTCTACATCTAACAGAAGTCACAATCACAGAGTCCTACTGTTGGGGATCCAAAGTCAAGAAAGCTTATAGCCATTAGTTGTGGGTTGCTTTTTTCCCTTTTAAAAGTAAAGACATTGCAAATTATTTCACTTCCATTCCATGTAAACTTCTGTACTGTATCATTAAGGATGGAAAATCAAGTAGAAATCTAAAGTAATACGAGCAGCAATATACAACTCTGGAGGCAGAGAGCCCCTAAAAATCCTTTCTCTCCCAATTCTGCAACACTCTACTCCTGCATATGCAGGAAGAATTTAAAAAAAAACCCAAGTATTTTTTGACTTAGCTTTACTTGAACCCTCCCCGAGACAGTAATGAGCAACTTCCTGTTTTTCTATCAAAGAACAGTGCAGAAAGCACTTTAGATGGCATTTAGACATTTACCATCAATTATACAGCCCATAAAACTGGTATTTTTATCAGTCTAGTTGAGCAGCTCTTACCCAAGAAAACAAAGCCAATTGCTACATGTTCTACTTATTTCATATAAAATATTTAAGCAATAAAATACAAATATTTTTGTTATTTCTCTGATAAAAGTGAATTAAATTATTTGCTCCTTGTCTAGAACATCTGCTGTGACCTTTCATGGCTAGATTAGTAGAGCTTAAATCTGCAAGGCCATGGGAGGGAGAATTAATTTCACTACACATTGGAAAGGGAAAAAAATTAATCCCTCCCACACACAGAGAAGCCCTTCAGGCTACTGAAAGGGAACACTCCAAAGAAGGCAGCTCCATGGAACAAGTTGATCTTGTCTGCTCTGTTACCTTCAGGAGACACAGAAGAGCCACCCAGCAGGAAGGGATGGCGTCTTCCAAGCTGAGCTCCCCTGTCTGTAAATGGGATAATGGTTACAGCCCAAATCCTTCCCATCATGTCTACATGGGGAAAGGGCGTGAGGTTGGAAGCTCGCCTCATTCACATCACTGGGGGGAAGGTATCAAGAGATCCTGCAGTTTTAAGAGACCTCCATTGCTTTTTCAACCTCCGTTGATTTTGCTTTTTCAACTGCTATTACATCCCTTAGCTGATGACAATTAATGGCATTTGAAGGGTACCAGATTATGAATTCTCAGTAAAATCTGAAATTCAATAGCTCACTTGATTATTAAATCAACACACCACCACTATCCACAGCTGAACTGGTTTTGTTTGTTTTGTCTGATACAGTACTATTTATTTTTTAAAATATCTCATTACTTATCTCTGCTGTCTGTATTATACTTTAAATATTTCCTTGCAAGGCAACAAAAGATAAAGTTTCTCTACAAATAACAAACAAAAAGAGAGACAAACTTATCCTTAAGTTTCACAGCAATATTCAGTCCACTCAGATTTACAAGAACCATACCATTAACACTGGAGTTACACGTAGACTCAAAAGAGCCCTGGGACTACTGGGTGCAAGAGCACCAGAGATTGAATCTCATGGGCAAGCTATTCTCTTATCTCTAGCCAGCTGTTCTCTTACAATCAAACAGAAAATCAAGTTCATGAAGAAGTGGTTTATAAAGACTAGTTGACTTGCCCCCACACCCGCAAAAAGGAAACTAATCCAATACTGTACCTGTGGCACTTCTTTAAGAAAGTCCGGAAGCTGAAATTCACCTTTGTAGACCTATGAAAACAAAACCCAATATACTACTGTTTGAAATGCTCAACAGCTTGTTAAAGCACAATCTATTTGTAAAAGCAAGGTTTTTTCACAAGGCTTCAGTAAATTAAGTTCTCTTTGGACTTAATTACATTTTGCAATAATCTCTATTTATATTTTTTTTGAAAGTTAACCTGTCATGATCTCATGGACTGGGTCAAAACTGACATACCAGCCAAGCAACATTCAGTTCTCAAACAGTTCTATTTTACAATTAGGAAACTTTGATAAACGTCACATAATACAACATTTTCTGATATGTCACAATATTCATTATGTACAAAATAGGTGTCATTCACACAAACAGCAGTATCACACTTGAACAACTGATCCCATCTTACTACGCTGTCAAAGGAAAGTTTGGTTGAGTCAGTTCATCAACACCATGCGACTACAGTCAAAGTATGAAAATGCTAACAATTTGGGTTTCAATGTTGTTGAAATGGTCAAGACAAGGAGCATCAGCAGCTCCTTCCATCCTATTTTATACATACTTTATACGCGAGTACAGAAGAGCTCCCCTTACTAGTAGGGCTGTGACAGTTACACTCCACAACTCCTAATAATTATGAATTTCTACAACAACTGTAGCCTCGTTACCAGCCTGACTTCATGAAAGTTTGTCACTACTGCAATTTCCAATATTTTAGAGAATATTAATTCTGAAACAACACTGGAGAAGGAGTAAGCAATAAATTTCTTCAAACATACCAACAGCAACAACCACACCAAACAAGTGTTTCCACTATCTGCCAATTAGGAAATAAATTGGGAATGTATTGCCTTCTCTCTAGAGAATCCTTCTTACAAGCTGTTTGCTTCTGAGATTAAACTGGAATACATTCCAAAGGGGAAGAAAAAAAAAATAAATCTGTATTTTTCCAAAAAGGAAGCGTACTTAGAGTTGTACCATCCTTTCTACTGAACCAAAAAAACCAAACGTAACGTCATTAGTTCTTTGTAGCCTTATGTAGCAGTAATCACATAAAAATCAAACCCCACAAACCTACTTAGAAAAATTCTATAAAGCCATAAAATTAAAACAGGTCTACTTTAAAGCCTCGCTCAGAGTTGCACTCCCTGGTTTACAAATTGCGTCAAAGGAAGAAGATTCAGGAAGTCAAGGGATGCTTATTAACAATATCCATTTTCTCTGCTTTCCTATGAACAGATGACCAGAATATACAGACATACTCATTTTTTTGCTGTACAGCAGTGGCCCAGGACTGCAGCTGAGCCAGCTCCAAATTTCCTGTCCCCGAGACGCCTCACCCCGCCACAGGCTGCAGCATTAAACCCTGACTCACATGGGGTGGACTTTGGAGCTGGAAGTTCTCAGCACTCGTTATCACTAGGCTAAACACATCCAAACAACAAGGCTTCACTGAGTCCCAGCATGAGAGTAGGAATTATTATACATTGAAGAACTCTGTTCCTTCCGATATTCCCTGTTTTAGATAAAATAGAAAGGCCAATTCAAAATGACAGCCACAGCTCTCGTTTCTATTCAGCCAGGGGGTACTATCATTTCCATGGAAACCTTAATGAAAGCCACACTGGTCAAAAATTCAGCGTGTGGCTTACTGGAGCCTAGATATACTATAAATATTTATAAATGAAGGAGAGTATTTCTTATTTTCAGCTTTTAACCAAGCCATTAAAATGCAGGCTGTGTTCTAGAGAGCAGAAATGGAAGTTACAAATCGACAATATTATCCCATCAAAAAATGCTACAGAACAACCTAGGCAAGGTTCACAAGAAAAAAACCCCACTTTTTTTATTAGACTTGTGCTAACATAGGGAGAAACAGACAGGCTTCAACTATTCTGGCAAACCACTACACTCATTATCTGGGAATTCTTGAAACCAGTTCATACTGATGATGATGGTACCTTGTGACAGATTCAGAATCAGAGTGACCATAACCACATTTGTCTCTGGAAGTCTCCTTCTTTCCTTCTCCTGCAATTATGACTTGGTCTAATTTTTATATATTTTATTTATATATTTATATATTTTTTAATATATATATATGTCTGCTCTAAAAATGTCAGCATTGTAATGCACTTAGCAGGAAGAGCATTTACTACTAATAAGCATCTAATAGTGGATAGACAATGGTATTCATCCATCAGCAATATTAAGAAAAATAGTGACACTAATGTCATACCCTGGAAAGATAAGAAAATGTTTCAGGGACATTTAATATTATATTCACATAAGTATCACAATTTACGTGCCACAATTCACAAAGGCAAATCTAACCAGTGACAAGCCCAAGAAGATTAGTTTTAACACACAAGCGTGCCTAATTTTTGTTAAGAACTGACACTACCTAGAATGCCGGTTTTAACTGAGACTGCATAGAAACTGGTTTAAAGTAGTTCCAGAAACAGTAAGTGGTCCCTTTTGAATCCAAACCCAGGGAAATTCTAAAAACAATGACTCCATCTTCAGCCAAAGAAATTAAGAGCTTTCAGATTCAAAATTCTTTTCTGACCAATTTCTAAGTCTAAAACACATTATTTAGAGAGTGGCAGAAGTGGGACGTTGCAATGATTTCCACTCCAAGCAAGAATTCAATAAATTGCACAGAAATGATGTTTACCATTTCTAAGGGAATTATTTTGCAAATCCAAATGGATTTCCAAAGAGGGGGGGGAGGAGAATCTGAAGCCTGTGTCAGTTGGTTGTTCAGTGTTGGCAATATTCAAGCTGTTCTATTATAAAAACCAAACAAATCACATTCTCATACGCAAACTAAATGTGTATTACTCTCAAAAAGAGGTCAGAAAAGTTTCACATCCAGTTGTCTGAGAAACCCGTCAGAAGTACAAAAGGGAAACTTAAGAAGAGAAGTGTAACTCAGAAGTGTAACCTATAATTCATCTTTATAGAAGATTAAAGCACTCCTTTTCACCGGCTTCCAAGCCTGGTTTAGAAAGAGTCTCATTCTATTTGGTCAGTTCCCATACACAGAGATAATGGGTCTTTTTGTCTAGAAGTTAGCCTGCAATTAAGTGTACTTGGGCTTAGTAAATTTTCAAAACATCAAAGTTGCAGAGTCCAAGGCTATTGATGTTTCATTGTCAAAGGAAAAAAAAAAAGTAACACTGGCAAAAATCAACCAGAGCCCCTTTCTAGAAACAATCCTCTATTGCACACGGAGGTACACTCCTCTTGCTCTTTCAGACTTTCTGTAACTCCTAAGGCAGCTCACAAGGCTTACACAGCTCTGCACCTCTTTGCTGAAACTACCAAGAAAGGGGACATCCGAGATGTAAATATTTACCCAGCAGGAACAACACAGAGAACTTGATTTTAGACAGGCCTGAGAGTATCTGCCAAAAAGCAGCTTGCAGCCATACCTTATTGCGTATTTTGTTTGTTAATAACTCTGTGCACCTTATGAATCACATACATCAATAGTTGGTTTTAAAAAAAAATAAATCAGCATCTCCGGAGAAAAACAATGCAGTTGGGAATCCACATGTTGGAAGAAAAAACCCTCTAAAGAGGGTATAAAACAAATTTAAAGGACACTAAAAGTCTGTGCTGTTTGTAGTCACGAGACAGATGAAATAAAACCCCCAATTTTTGTTTTGAATATCAGAGAAAACGCCCACAAAGCCAAATGCCTTTATGCTCAAACAGCAGAGCTGCACAGCCTTGAGCAGCCTGTCATTACAGCATACCTCCACAATTACACATCTTTGACAGCACAAGTAATTATTCTCATGTGTTAGTATAAATATACTTCTCACCCTTTATCACAGATTGTTTCTGTCTTTAAGACCCCAAATACAAAGTCTTGAAATTATGATTGTCGTGGACGTCTTGACTCTTAACAGCAGGAGACATTTCCCCACAATTTAAAACAGGCACAAAACAGGAGTTAATAGAACTCTGGTTTTGACTCTAGATGATACTGCAGAAAACACCATCAACAGAACATAAAACAGAGACAGATAACAGTTTTCGGATGTGATTAGAAGCTGCCACACGTATTTAAACAGTCATGATGAAAACCATAGCTTTTTCTGTGGAGTTCTGTACACTTCCGTCCCTCCAGCTCTCCAGGGCAAAGAACGTAGCTTCACGAAGAAGTTAAAAGAAATTACTGGAATATGTATTCCAAGCATATAAATTCATTTAGTGGGAAGTACGTGCCAAAGAAAATCTGATGTAATACATTACAGATGTGAGAGGAAGCCACTTAGCCAATCATAACAATAAGCCAGTTTCTACTGGGCATAAGTCAGTCTTGCAGTTACGAGCTGTTCTCCACTTTTGGTGCGTTCTGTGAAACTGCTGACATACACTTTTACACAAACTCACAATATTGGCAAGGACGTATCAGACGCTCCTCTAATGTGGAGTGATTCTACTTTTGCAATTCATTATATGGCAATTGGGCTACCAGTTGAGATAGCTTAATTATTTGCCTTTTCTGCATCATTTGCAGATGAAAACTCCTTTTAGTTACAGGATGTTGTTTTCCTTTATGTTCAGGATGAAAGTAGTTATGTATCTATAAGGAATGGACCCTTGCAATCATTACAGTAATATGAACAACCAGCAGACTTACAAGAAAAACCCAAGACAGCACAATTCTGCAGTCACTGAATAACTAAAGGTAATTCAGTGACCTCTTGAGGAGGTCACATGCAGAGAGATCTGCTGAATGGCACAACACTGTTCCGACCTTGTTCTGCATTCCTTACCCAAGACAAGATAAAGGTCATAAAAGATAGTGTCAGGCCTAACATAAAATAGATAAATAAAAAGTTAATGGCTTTGTTATTGAAAACATCAGAAAAAAAATCTGTTAAACTTGTGCTACATTTGTATTTCACCAGTGCAGATGCTGTTAGATAAGTTTTATTTCATAACACCACATAGCACTTGGAGACCAAGGTAAGAAGAGATGAATTCAGCTTCACACTCTGCTACCTCCTAAAACAAAACCAGAACTAAGATGACAAAGTACAGTGGTTGCATATCTTTTTTTTTTTTTGCTGTACTACAGAAGCATGAAAACCAACCTAACCATTTTGGTGTCCTAGGTGGGTAACATCAAAGTGAAAAATCCAAATTTAGCAGAGAGCATTGTTTTCCTTGCATTACTACAAGCACATAGAAATTCTAATTCAAGGACTGTACTTTAGCTGGTGAGAATCATCATTTTGTTTCCAGACTGAAGAAAAAAATATTTAACCTGTACATATGGTGAGTCACCGGCAGGGGGACAGAAAAGGAAAAAAAACAAGAACAGGGCTTAACTGCTTAAAAAGCATAGGGGAAGCTAATATTTTTGCACCATACTGGCCATTCCTTTCTGGTTTTCTCCAGTACTAGCCCTTATTTTAGGCACTCTTACACTGTTGGTTCTTACCTTCAGGACTAACAGCAGCAGCTTTGAAATTGCTGAACAGTATTTTCACTGTTAAGTCTAATTTCTAGTTTTTTCCTAAGAAGTGATAGATTTTGCTCGGCGCGGTTCCTGCAGTGTAATATAAATGCAATTCTACAAGCAGCACTTGAGTACATTTTAGAATAAAGACATTGCACAGTTTAAAGTTTGGAATCTTTTACAATTACCTTCTACAACTGGGCAACACACAGACTTCTACTCATAAAACACTGACCTGTCTGCATTCAAAAGAGGCTTTCTAGCTATGACTATGTTCTGCATCCTGATGAGTTTTCCTACTTTGGTTCCACTTATCTTTATGCTTTTATATGTAGAGTATCAAAATGCTTTCAATCATACAAAACAAGAACTCTCCATAACAACAAGAACTGATTTGTTTGTTTAATGTATCTGATAGCAATGAACTAGATGACACAGCATTGTTCCATCTTTAGGTGGAGCCAGAATCTCCCCTGCCAATAATTTCAGTGGTGTTGGGCTTCCACCCTGTTGCTGTTGTTGCAACTTTCACAATCAATTTAAGCCAGCATTACATAACCCTCTCAAAACCACACCAAAAAATTAAAAAAGTCAGTCCTTCTGCCTTACTATTGCTTTCTGTTTGCCAAATAGGGGCCAGCTCCTTCATGAGAAGTTCTAGCACACACCATTTTAAATGGATTAAGGAACTACAACTGTATTGGAGTAGCAAGTGGTAGATAATTCAACATTATTTCAATGTTAGTCACTCCGAGGGGTTACTGTACTAACACAATGCAGTTCCGCTTTAGTAGCCTAAACTTTATGTTTTCAATGAGTAAAATCCAAGTTCTGAGTTAAGTTTAAAGTTCTCAGAGACCACAAATATAAATATAATGGAACAGCTTCCAAACACAAAGTGAACAATAAGTGGTTACATGCAAGATTTATATATATTCTTATTATGTACTGGAGAATAACTTTGGAAAGATTCTATTTGGACAGCTTCATCTCCAACAATAGACCCAGTACAGAACTCTGAAAGACTATCCCATGTGAAGGAATTTAAAAAGAGAGCAAGAACAAAAGTAGTGCTACAGTAATTTACAAATTCACCAGCTATGAGTATGCAATAGCACACTTAACTTGCTAAGGGCCAGTTCCTAAAAGCTGGAAAAATCTAGATCAAGATTTTTTTTTAAATGTCCTCTTCTCCAAGCTGCAGCAGCAAGACAGAAATTAGCTTGGGTTTATGGAAGAGAAGGGGAAACCCACAGGGCAGCAGCTGCTATCCCTGATGGGCAAAACCAACACATTACAGTTCCTTCTCTCTCTCACTACTTTTCCAAAACACCTTGAAGTGTTTCGAAATATCTGTCCCCCATCTCTAAATAAAAACAAAATAAAGCTGTGGGGAAAACAAAACAAAGCATTTTTCAAAAGCGAGTCAGCTCCCACTGACCACCAACCAGCACATTAGTTATTTCAAAACTTCCTTGGGTAAAGGCCAAGCTCAGTGCCCAGCATTTTGGCAATTTACTGTGCAAGATGCACGATGGCAGGAAGCCTGGCACTTCCAGGGAGAGCTGAGCCTGCTGCCCTGGGAATTAGGTAACTTGAGCAGCAAACTGGTCTGGGAATTGGGGAGCCTTAAATCTCAGAACCCAAGGAAGTCAGGACATCAACGTTTCCATAGTCACAGAGAAAGAGAGAGGACCCAATGGTATGAATAGGGATTTGCTGGGAACCAGCTGGGAGGAAACAAAGCTAAGTGACTGGAGAGGAATTCAGAGTTTGCACTTGGTTGGCCTAACACTGATTTGGGCCATCATTTGAAATGGCTCCTTGGGGTACACAACATTTTGAAAGTCTTACATTTTTCCATTTTCAAAAGGCATATTGTAAATTTTGAAGATTAGCCATCTTTAATGCTTTTGCCTTTTTGGATTTTAGTCTTACTTCAGGACATCTCCCTCATTTTATCTATACAAACCATACATGCAGAAGTCGTTTTGTTAAAGAACAAGTGACTAGGAAAATACATACTGGATACTACAACAAGTAACAAAACTAAAATGCTATCTTCGGTCTGCAAGTAAAACTATTAAATTAAAATAGCAGTCAAACTATTAACAAGCGTTCCATACATTTGCAGTATTTACACCAGCTATTATAACAGTAATCTCCAGTTTCACAGCTGCTTTTAACATTAGTGAACAAACAAATTATGCTTCAAAGCAAACTTGTGGAAGAGCCTCAATACTCTTTAGCCTTCTAAATTAGGCTTTAATTTTTTTTAAAGGTATGCTTGTGGCTTTTTTTATTACCTAAATTTCTCTCTCCCATCTTGAGCTGAAATAATTTCAAGAATTCACCTAAGAGTAAGCAACCAAAATCCATACAATTTTTACTGTGCTTGACACACAAAGGTCACCATACTGTAAGAATTTATTTCGATTGTATCAGTAAGGTTGGTCATCTCTTAAATTACTGCATTACAATACAAATTTGGATCTGAGTCACTATTTAATAGTATGTACAGGTAGATGCAGGAGGATTTTGTTTTCAAGGCTCCATGAAACAGTATTGAACATTTTTTTTTTTAAAGGAGTTGAATTGAGTGCAGAAATGTTAGTTTATAAGGCTTTTAAACCAGTAAGTGCCAGGAAGCCTCTAAAATGCTAACCACTACCCCTACCAGAAAAGCTGGGTTATCTTTTCCATGCTGAGTTAAGAATTATTGCATTAGTCAACATGCCATCCTTTAATACATTGGTCGACTGTTTAAGATTCCCAGGGAGAGCTTCTAAAAAGAAATAATGCAAAAATGTTTAAAGACTTCACAAAAAAGTGGTTGTTGTTTTTTTTCCATTAGCATCTAGCCCATCAGCATACCAAGCAGTTGGCTTTTCTTTTTTCCATATTGGAAGGCTAGTAGAAGACAGTCCTTTTAAGTTGTTTAAATCAATTTTTCCACTGATTACTTTGCTGCTGCAGCAAAAGTCACCTTCTTTTAATAAACAGCAGCAAAGAGTTAATTATTCTTATTTCAAACAATGGTAATGAACTTTTCAATGGGTACCTCCAGGGATAAACAGCTGTATAGCCTAACTACTCAAATTCCAACAACATTACATTCAGACTAAGATCCTTAAGTTTAGGTTAATCAGCACCAGATCTTCCTTCATCTTCTGTTTGTTCTACAAAGGACAGCAAGAAATTGGAAAAATCTGACAGTTTGATCACCTTGGGCCATTTTCCGTGGGTCACTTTTCAAATACTACCATGCATTTGGGGTGTAATTTTCTTATAGAACATTTGACAACCCTTGTGTATAAAAAGCTGAGCTCAATCAAGGTTGACATCAAGGTGAGAAAGTTAGCTTTTTCCCATTGCTAACTAGTTCCCCACCTATCTGGTCAATTCTCAAGAGGTTCAGCTCCATGCACTAAAGAACACAGCTCAAGCCTGGGGCTGGGGTAAAGGAAGATGAACCAAATTGAAGACAAACAGCAGGAGCCAGACTTTCAGTGCTCAAGGTCCCACAGACATCTTCCTTCTTCCCCCCATGGCAAGGAAAACATCGCTAAGTATCAAAAAGTATTAGAAACAGACCAAAATAAATAAAACACAAGACTTTTGCTCTTTAGCTTGCATCCATTTGGTCAGTAATTAAACACACAAACATGCCTTACCCTCCTTGTGTTTTCCACAACTTTTTGATCTGGCTTTCCATAATTTGGTGGATTGGCATATGGATCATAGCCCAGTTTTGCTAGCATGGGTGCAATCACGGGCATGTCTTGCAAAACATCAGCAGGTATCTTCCCAACCCATTTTGATAGTGCTTCCACATTGACTGGCTTGATGACTTGGTCAGTAGATCTTTCAACCCTGTGGAGGGAGAAAGGTAGGTTATATTTTGCATTCCAACCAATACTTGCTTCTTCACTAGGGCTAAGTTTTTTAGCTTATTTTGTTTGGGTTCTTTTTTTCCCCTTCATCTTCTTCCCCTCTCAAATTTTCATGTTTCTACAGAGCTGGCAGGAAGTGAAGTTTTACTACATAAGGCTAAAATGAGAATAACTAGCACAAGATTCACACATACTTTCTGGTTTAGGCTTTCACACAGAATGTACTGAAGCAAGTTCTTCACATAAAGAGAGCAGTGAAAACCAAAGAGCAGTTAAGTGAAAGTATGCACACACCTACATAAACTGTTTTCCCACTGGCACATTCCCACATTTGCTGTCTCATTGTCTTAAAGGCTCTTGCAAATTGTATTCTAAATTAAAATTCATGTGCTATTTATTCCCACCTCCCCATACTGTGATTAAACTCTCTTTTTGGGGGGGTTTGGGTTTTTTCTCTTATAAAAGAGACACCTATGCAGTCTACTGCTGTCATTTCCAATAATATTTTTCATATTCCTTTTGCTGATTGAGTGTTTGGTCATTACACAGTTCTGAAGTGCATAATCATAGCAGTGTCATATGTACTGTGTTGCTCATTTAATCAGCAGTCCTAAAGTCATTTTCATTCTTGCACCCTACTTTTGTTGTGTAGTTTGTTGGTTTTTTTCCAAGGGAGGAAATCTGGCATCACTTTGTTTTCCCACGTTCCTTGCTTCTTTTAGATTAGAAGACATACAACTTCTTTACTGTGTTTATTCCTGAAACAGGCCAGCAGGACTCAGAACAGGCTCAGTAATTTAAAACTGAGTTTTTACTCTGAGTAATTTAAAAATTCTTTCTAAACTCAGAGCGCGCATGCATTCTGGATGTCAAGATTCATCTTTTAAGGCAGATTAAAAATCAGGTCTGTTTATACAGTTTGCCTAAAGGAATATTTGCATCTGCGTTGCAAGTAACACCATAAGGTACCGCAGCAGCAGTAGCTCCTGCTGGCTGGCCATACCTGCCTCAAACCTGATGCTGAGCATATAGCTGTCATCCTTCCCAGGCCTTATTTACATCACAAAGAATTCTGATCTCAAAAAGCTCTACCACCCAGAAAACAGAATTGTTATACTTGAAAGCAACAGTACAAAGTATAACACCAGTACCTCATCTACACAAGAGTGAGAACACTGAGATTCAAATTAATTCTCAAGCAGCTAATTCTTCAGCTATACAGGAGGCAGAATATGAGAAAATATCTTCTGAGAAAGATACATGGAAATTTCTTGAAATACTCCTGATAGTTCAGGCTTCTGGACTCAGAAACTAAAGATAAATTGCTCTCAAGACTGACATCAGTCAATTCACAAGGGGAACGAGTTTGATTACGGTTATCTAATTAGCCTTCTGAGTCCGAGAAGAGGCTGAAGAATTCGTGCACAGCAGACAAACATTAAATCAATAGCGAGAGGCATCCCGTTCAGTTGCACACTGTACTGTGCAGTGAAAGCCTTAAATTACAGGCTATGCAGGCATGTCTGCCAGTCATTATTAGCTCAATTTCATCTTGACACCAGTCTTACCTTGTTGCTCTGACTTGTCATCATAGCTAAAATTCTTTCAGGACAGAGGAAGGAAGTTAGTCATACAATGCTGAAAAGTCAGTAACTTAAATACTTTAAACACAATCAACAAAGAACAAACCAGACAGGGAAACGATCACCCAAGGGGGAAACTCTCTTGGCAAGCAGGGCCTTCACAGGCTGCTGTGAAAGGTGTTTAAGGGAAGCTGATGAATAAGCACCAGACAAACAAAAAACTGAACGACAACCCCCAAAATGGTCAGCCTTACTCTCTTCAACCATTTTCAGTAGCTCAAACCAAAGGCAGTAGCTCAGAACGGGATTTGGGGACCAAGGAGTTGTGGCCGAATTTCAGCTTTCCTGAAGGCTCCTGGCAGAGATCACAAGTCTGCACAGCAAACGAAAGAGCCTGGGCATTGCCTTTCTGATCCTTCTAATTAGAAGATGAGCATCGGACTTCACATCAAGTCAGGAAGAAAACAGCTGTTGAGAGCTGAGTTTCAGAATTTCGAAGCAGCAAGGCAGAGGACAGAGCACCACACAGTCAGGAGTTGGTAGAATGATGCTGGCTGGGACCCTCAAGAAAAAATTTATCACTAGGTCTTTGAAAAGTCTAAGATTTACAGCCCTCTCTCCTCTCAGAGACAGCCAAGCCCAAAATCCCTTCATCAAAACTGCAGATTGATTCAACCATTTAAAATAAGGATGATACTGTGACAATGAGGTAATGGGCTTGGCTAACAGCTTGTTGGAACCCCTGAACAAGGGATGCTATACATCAATTAGGACCTAAATTAGTACACGTATGGTACCCCTTCCTCAAGTGAGAGCACACTTAAAATGTGTATGTTTTGCCCCACTGCCATTTTAGTCTTTGCTAGCAATAAGCTCAGCGTGGAACATTTCCTGGTGATTTAATAGCTGGCAAGAGATAAGCAGGGAACTACATTCGGCTGCTCCTCAGCACTGATTCAGAAATAGACTATACCACATTTGGTCTTCTGTTTAGATCCTTTTCTGTCCTTTCAGTTAAGGTGGGAAGAAAAATAAAACAGAATTCGTGGGAAAGATTCTTCAGACCAAAGAACATCTGAGGAATATGGGGGGAGACAGATTGGGGACAGAAGGAAAGAAACACCCAAAAAAACCAAACAGAGCAAAACAAGGAAACGTACCAAGTCTTGGCAAATGTGATCCTATCTGCACATGACAAACGCTGCCTGGTCACTGCTTCCAGGCTCCACAGCAAATCCACAGGAACAGTTCCAGCTTTGAAAGCAGCTGGTACCATGAAACACATGACTAACCCCAAATAATTCTACATCTCTACTAGAATCAAATGAAAGGTGTGTATTAAAAATAGTACATTCTGAAGTAATTTTGCCTAGGCAGCTATTTTCATAATAAGCCTAATAAAAATTGTTATAAAAGGGTTGACATTTCTTTGCATCAGTGGTCACCGCAGCTGTTTTCAGTTAGGAGGCAAATGCCAGAGCTATATTAACAATACTAGTTATAGCATGTAGTCCAGCCAGAATACATTCCTTCAACAGCCACGTTGGCAATTACTTCAAACCACAGAAGGTTTCCCGCTACTACAAATGCTGTGCTGCACATCCTTAAAACCCTTGCAGTGTTTTTCCTTGCAGCTAGATAAAAACCAAAATAAGGGGCAACAATACTAAGTAAAAGAGAACAAACAGTAAGGCCAGGGCTGCGTGAGCAACAGAAAAAGCAGGGATTACAAAGCAAATGCAGAGAAATGAATAAGGCAGTTTCTGCAAATCAAGCAGCCAGGGGAACAGACAAAGTCAGAATGTTAAATACAGACTGCCTAGTATCTAGTATCACTATTAACAGATTATTGCATAAGGCTTTCTGAGTCTGGAATAAGAAAAATGGAATCAGCTCACTGCCTGAGGAATTCTGCAGGCCATTGGGTGGCCAGCTCATCCCTGGAAGAGAAACAGCCTGCATGCACAATTTAACTCTATGTACAACTGAAAATAAAACACTTTACCCTGACCTAGAGCCTCATTCATCTGATACAGATTTCATTTGACATAGCTAATTTTGATTTCAGATGAGTTAAAAATATATTTTCAAACATTTGCTTTCTGTTACCAGCTAATAACATAAAGATCTTTTAGCGATACTGTAATCTGTTTGTCAAAGTGTTTTTAAATATTTCAAGATGACAAACTCATCAGATTTATTTTCAAAAACCCTCCAGCAGTTGAAACACATCCAGGCATCTTATGCTGGACCTGACCTGAGCAGGCATCATGCTCCTGAAGTGGATGCTGAGCCTGTCTGAAAGATCTGAAAGTCTTAACGGTGAGTAGAAGATGATGGAGACAGGTTTCTCTGTGATTTACTTAAGTCTTTTCACAGCACCTCAGCCTTTGCGGATTATAACAGTAGCTCAATCTTTGACTTCAGAGGTTTTCTACCCTACCTAATATCTTGCAGACAAACGGGGAAATAATTTTATCTAGATTTTCATGTTCTCCCTACTATGCTAGAGGCTAGGCCTTTGCATTGGTAACTTTTAAATGCAAGTCACATTTCAATACAGATTATTTGGTACCTGTGATCTCCTCCTCCTGCCAGTAAAAAATGTAATATAATTTGAGTGTTCCAATTTTAATATACTATTATGAAACAGCCTGAAGCTCTTGGTACTAGGCAGGTGGTAAATTAAAGCTCTGTGAGATGACAGAGGTGCAGTATACAGCAGGGTTTTGAATTTCCTTAGATTATCTCTGAAGTGATCTTCAGCACCATCCTTTGGAAAAATCGGGTGGGAAAGAGCTCCTGATCAGAATATGGAGCTCCACTGCTCGACTCTTGTTTCTGCTGAAAGACGACAGTAATCACATCATGAAGTAAAGAGTACTCTCCAGTAAACCCAAAGAGGAATTCTAAGTCATAAGAGAACAAGGTTGGTTAGAACCTGACCCAGAACAGAACAGTCACACACACCTGATGCCGTAAAGAATTTTGCTGTAGCTACAAGCCAACTTCAACTTGATCGAAGGAAAACTGACGTGAGGTGTATTTTGTTCAGCTGCCAAAATTTGATAAGCTGTGGCAGACTCTAAAGTTCTCGGTAAACTCTTTTCAAGGGGTGATTTTTGTGGGCAGTTACCCCCTGCTCTGGGCAAGGACCCCCCCAGAGGGGCAGCCGTCCCCATCCCCAGCTCTGCTGCACACGAGAGGGCAGTGAGGAGCTGGGGATGCCAAAAAGCAGGAGGCTGTAACTGGTACAAGGAAATCAAATTGGGGAATCTCAAGCTCCCCCTGCACAGTTTCAATTAGTATCATATATATACACAAAACAGACATCTCAGAGAATTTCATATTCACTGTTTTTTCTGCAGCCCTCATAAGACTGAGTCACTGAAATCATTATTAAATTATAAAGGTCTCATGCAACTGAAAAACAAATCTCACCACCTATTTCAAGGGTATTTGATTAGATAAAAAAAACATCAGACATAACACGAATAACCCCGTTCTTTTTCCATTATTGCCAGAGCCTTCTGAAATAATAAATTACTTTCACATATCTCATGGGAGATAATAAAAGCATAAGGAATTCCATGAGTGGATTGAATTGAGGGTCACAAGGACACTTTCATACTCATTTATCTTCAATTTGAAAGTTTGATTCAAAAATAAACACGAAGCCACATTTTACTTTCAATAATCCATTTTCTTAATTTTTAGAGACGTGAACAAGTATTCTCAACTCCTCACGTCCCACTCCACCAGATTTAGCAAGAAATATTACTTGAAACTGTATGCATTCAGTAAGGCTATGAGTTTTATAGTATAGAGGTCCATTAATTTTTAACAACGCTAATCTGGAAGTTTTAAGGTAGTAATATTTTACTAGAAATGGCACTATGCATAGTTATTTTTACAGGATACTTAGCAGAACCTGGCAACCACCTATTTATATCAGTAAGTTTACTCCCCTCTCAGCTGCCACTGTGAAGCAGTAACATGATACAGGTAACTAAAGAGAAGTTCACACATAGATACAGCTTGCAGAGAGGGACAACAGTGCCTTGCTTCATTAACATTATCAGAAGGCTTCAGTCTGCTAACGAACAATATTACACACACAAAAAAAAGGGGGTTGAGATGCCTTCTTGATAGCTCTGAGAACACAGTGGTCGCAGTGTTTCTTCAGTGGAAATGCTGATGTGAAACCTCCAAATTGTAGATATAGAACCACTATCTCAGTTTTAAGTTACCTTTGTAGCTGCTGACTATTAATTCTTTTATTTGCTTTAAATCGCAGACCCCTACAATATGTTAGAAAATCCAGTGTCACTTCCCAAGGCATGAAATAAACAGAATCTTTATCTCTAAAAACTGTAGCCTTAAAAAAAAATGGAATCACCCTGTATTCAGCAGTTTGACACAGCTCTACCCAGCCCACTCTGCCTGCTGTGCAAGGTGCCTCTGTTACTCAAGAAGCACTTGGTCAATGATGAATATTAAAAAAACCCAAACAAACAGAAGCCAGGGAATTTACCTGGGCATGCCTTGCTGCTGGAATAGGGCTTTTTAATCAATATTTTAGAAACTTAAACAAGACAATCTGGTAGATGTATCTGCCATAGCAAAAACAGAAAGAGATTCAAACATCCACACCTTTCCCCTCTCAATACACAGACTAGCCAGCTTCCATATTTCAGTTGTTCAGCTGTAAATAGTGGCAAAGAAACCAGAGTAGTTTTAACTTCTTTTTTTTCCCTTTTCAAAATACCTGTCTAGGTTTTCTAAGCAGAGCCAGCTTTTAGTTTCTGGAAGTAGCTAAAGCAGGTGCACAGATGGCACAACAGAATACTCTGAGATTTGCTTACAACAAGGTTAATTTTATTCAAAATGCTTGTCCTTTCAGGAGTGCATGCCAACAGAAAAGCACGCCAATTCTGCTTTCTATTTTGTTGGAACAGTTTCTCGAGTTTCCTGGAAGAGTATGTTCTTGGCAAATATAACTCAAAGGCCATTCTTGCATTGACAACAAAACTTAAGTTCCTGAAAGCAAACGGGTGATCTTGCTAGGATGAGTAACACCAGTCTAGATAAAACAGTCCAGCTTTATTTTGAGACACAAGAGAAAAGCAAAGCTATGTTGGAAGTAATGCTGATACTAGCCATCCAAATTCAAGTTAGAGTAACCATTAATTAAGTTAGTTCATATGTTCCATACACGTTAGCAGGACAGTTATTTAGTGGGAGCACTCTCTTATTGCAAAATTATAGTGAACAATGATTCTTATTTTCTAGATAATATACATCATAAATCTACGTAAAAACTGAAACCAAATTATGACTAGTCTTATAACAAAACCATCCTATTTCACCTCTTAGAGCAATGCAAGGTAAAGGAGGAACACTCATACTCACTTTGAAAGAGAAACGCCCCCCGCTTTTCCAATCATTTCTTCATGGTGCAGCACCGCTTGGTTCCATGGGATGCGAAGAAATTTTAAGAGAGTTCTCATCCATCTTTCAGGATGCAATACGAGTTGTTCATAATGTACCAGCATACACCTTTCAAAACCGACCTCCATACACTGGTTATACATAGTTTCTATAGCACGATTCCACTTGGTCAAGCAGTCTCTGTAGCTGTTAAGGTCAAACCCAGCTATTGTGACTTTTCTAGATATCATGGAATGCACAGATGCACGACCATCTCGTACCATGAGAAGGAATTTGGCATTGGGGAAAATTCTAGCAAGATAAGTTAAGGACTTTAAAGCAAAAGGATCTTTGTTACACAAATACGGAGCAGGCTCCCCATGTTTCACAATGATTTCCAATAAAAACGCCTGCATGGCTGAGTCCAGAACCTCATCTGTGACTCCAGCTTCATCCAGTCGGATCTTCTCTTTGCTTGATCTAGCCCACATCTGCTTAACTGCCAGAATTCGGGGGATTACCCTGGTCTCTTCTCCACATCGAATATCCGGATGGGCATCAAGCATGGCACGCATTAAGGTAGTGCCGCTTCGAGGTACTCCTCCAATAAATATTAAAGGCATGTCTTTGTTGTAAGCAAAGGTTTTGTTTGCATTTACATTGGCAGCAGTTCTTACTGTGCTTCTCACACTTTCAATCCTCACGGGCTGGCTGCGTTCTTCTATCCGGTGGTGACACTCCATGGCGTGTTGGCCCAAATAAAACACCGTCACCGAACTGATCACCAGACACGCCAATAGCAAGTTCTGTTTGAGTTTTCCAACCATTTTGATAAAGACTGTCACTTCAAAATAAAGAGACCTTCGATTTCAGATTATCTTCTAGTTCACATGTCATGGGAATCCTAATCCAAAATAAATTAAAGTCTGGCGAGGGGGAGAAAAAAAAAAATTTAGAACTTTGTTAAGAATTACTACTATGATAAATCAACAACAGAAACACCTGACAGCATTCAATAAAACTATTATCTCCTAGTGCTGCGTTAAGACTAGTAAATGTGAAGTCTAAACACAGTTGTCCCATAACAAAAAAACTTTTTGTTTACCCATAGGAGCAACACAAAACGTAAGATTCACAACTAAAATTACTATTTACATAGAAGTTCTCTGGTCCATTGTAACACATATTTGAAAGAACTCTACCACTGGATAGCCACTGTTAAACTTTACATTCAAGCAAAGACACCCATTTATATGGGTCTTTACACATTAAAAGAGTAATTAAGAAACCCCTCTACTTTACTCAAGGTTTTACAGCAAAAAAAGACCTCTCTGAGCCAGAGTCACCTGGATAAAACAAATGAACAAGACACCCTACAGAAATCACATTAGACATTAAAAGAATTTAAGTATTAGTTAACTGACAATAGCAGTATCCCGCTCATTGTCACATTTTCATATAACTACTTTATCTCCTGTTTTGCTTGAAATGCTCTATTTCCTTCACAGGATACAAGATGACAGTAAGAGATATTTCCCAGTTACCTATCAACACTGACAGTGGCTGCTCTTGATCAATGCCTTTAAGCAATGAAGAAAAATAGTCTGCAGCAAGTAAGGGCAACTTCAATTTTTACTTCAAGGGAAACTGTGATTAAAGAAGCGTATAGTCATTAGAGACTACAAACATAATCCAGGATTAAAGCTGACTAAGATCAAGACTAAGATCAATCTTAATTTAAATAAGAACAACCACCACCACCCGTACTGACTTAAAAGTTTTCATCCATCCCGGTATCCAGATAATACAAAGCAGGATATACAAAAGAAAACCAATGATTTCATTCTAACTTCCTCCTTTATTGTTTTCTTTACCTAAGATTTGGCTCTCAGAGATATTCCTCTCAAAAAAAAAAAAAAAACAACCCTACCCAAGCTCAACATAACCATAATCAATCATTATTCCATTGATTAAAAAAAAACAAATGAAAAACCCACCGGCCTTCCCCCCACGTCTTATGTTGAGCTCCAGAGAAATGTTAGCTGAAATACTAAAAAACTGAATAAATTAGGAAGAAAGAAAAATCGATCCTGTTCTCAATCAGCACCCTGGGGGTTTAAAACAAAACAAGAGCTAAAGTCTTGCATAATTTTAAGTCATGTAATGAAGCACTGCCAAATAAAGTATATACTGCATTCTACCTTCAAACAAGGTTTGGATTCCTTTTAAGCAGCGCTGGTAAGCTTGCTCTTTTTTTAGTCCTTTCATCTAGGTAACTCCCTATTTTTGCTGGTATGACAGCAAGAGTCTTCCCCCTCCAAGATAAAACGTAACACTTTGGGGTTAAGATGCTGTATACGTGGTCACTACACAGAAAGGTTTAGGGAAAGAACTCACGTAGCAAAAAAAAGCCAACTGACAGTAACACGATGCTGCAGAAAGCATCATGGCAGCCCACGCTAATGAAGTTTACAGTTACAGTCATTTCATATTTATAGCATGGAATAGAGAATTATACTGTAGAAAAATTTAACTTGTGTGATAGTACAAACTTCCTTCTGGTTCTACAATATCACACTTGAATTAATCAGTGCATTTTAAATCCTTACAACTATTGCAAAAATAAAGGAAGAGAGGCAAATCAAGAACAACCACTCATCAATTTTATAAGGTATCAATACATGGCTTTCGTTCCACTTTCTAGCCTACAATTTAAGCAGTGATGATTATTCTGTGACAGAATTATTTTTCAATACAAGTATTATTTGAATAAAGTGAATTTTAACACACCAAAGGCCACCACTTTTCTCCTGTAAGTTTTTTTTCCAAATAGGTATGGTGCTATTTCCTACAGTGATAGTTTAACTCAGTATTTGAAAACAAGCGAGACATGTATTAGAATTAAGGGTCTGTACAGCTAGCACATCCATTACTAAATATTTATTCTATCCCCATTTTTAAAAGTTCTTTCCTCGAGCTCCATTTCCTCAAAAAAGAAAAGCGAAAACAAACCCTCCACAAAAATCTTCCTCTTCCAAACTAAGAGCTACTCAAAGACATAGCATTCCCCAAATGCAAGAGTTAGCCAGCTGATCACTAGAGAAAAACATATCTAGATCGAGTGCATCAACTGTTTTACCCTTATCATTTCTACTAGAATATCACTTTAAAACCAACCCAGACCATCCCCAGCTTTCAGAACCAAGCTGCAAATAAACCCCGCCTTCTCCCTCCTCTAGTTCAAGTCATTAATGTTCTGCTGTAAACAGTAACTAAAGTGACAGCATTTACAAATCACAACAAGGCAATCCCTTGGCAGCATTTAAGTAGAGCTTTGAAAGACTGTGGCATTTTTTACCCACTGTGACCTGAGAGGAACAAAGTGCCACTCCACTAAAAGCACAGACAACTCTTAATAGAGCTACTCCAATACAAAACAAATAACAAAAGCCTAAAAAATAAAAAAAACCTGAGCCTACGCAAACACAAGCCCCTCTCACACACACCCCAGTCGTAAGCTGAAGATGCCTACAATGGTAGAGAAGGCCTTTAGCAGCAATCGTTTCAAATGACAGACTCAAATAAATTTCTAGAAAAATTAACTCAAAAAAGGGCAGTTTGGATCTACAAGTTTCAGTAGAAGGAAGTACAGCTAAGCAGAAGTGTATGTGACTGAATTTTACTCCCAGGAAAGTCAGGCCTATGAGTCAGCCGCCAAGATGATGTTAGCAAAGCAAAAATGACTGCTTTGTTTCCTTCTTCTGCACACACTAATTCTCTCTCCTTCCTTCCCTCCTCCTACATGCAGCAAGTCAAGACCTTTTTCCTCAAGTTCATCCAAGAAATGTTGAAGATTTTCAGCTTAGTCAAGAGGCAAGTCATTCATTTGCATTTTATGTTAGAACAGTTTGGGTTTTGTTGCTGTTTAAAGCATTCCCTGCCAGGGAAAAAAAAAGATCTATTACCATCAAGTAATAAGCAACCCTCGTGAGGTCTAGGGCTTTTTCCAAGCCTAAACTAACAGGACAGCTACACCAGCATTACCCATCTCAAAAAAACAAAACCAAAAATATAAATATATATATAAAACATTTTTCAGTGATGAGATTGTCCTCTGCTTCCATCTCCTGAACTTCTGGCTCAGTCTGATAGCCAGACCTCCTTCTAGGAAGGACAAGCAAAGAAGTGCTGCTTAGATTTGTTCCTGCATCTCCCCAAGTGTTCACCACAGTGTTTGACCGGGGAACTTTGCTGGGAGGAAAGATCACAGCCAGCTTTCTGCCAACAGGCCATCAGGCTTCCAAGTCATCCAAATCCAGTTGCCCTCTCACCTGTGCTGGAAAGCAGGAGCAAGACAGAGATGAGTAGAAGAGCAGTGGAGTTCATACTGTAGGAAAGGCATCTTTCCCCTCACACTCTTCTTACAGTTTACCTTCACATCCTCCTGCCATGCTCCTATGATTCTCTTTTCCTACTTAGTAGGTCTGCTCAATCCCTCAGTCTCTGGGGCTGTTAGACCCCTGTAAGGCTTTATGTAGCAGACTCCAAAACACAGACCCCAGGAACAGAAAACGCTCACAGTTCAGAGATGCTGCCTTTCAGATGCACAACCGCTGTCTGACCACTACACCCAAAGCTCGCAGTATAAATCTGTAGAGGAAATTCATTTTACACTGGTAAGGTAGCAAAGTTGAGTGGGAAAAAATCCTAAATGGTTGTTATCCATTATCACTCTCTGCTCTTGACTGTAGAAGGAGAAATGAAAATGCTGCTAGCACTTAAAGAAGCAAGTGTCAACCCTGTCAGTATCTTCCTTGCCTCTTCTTGCCCCTTCACTTTTCCTCTGTAGAAATAAATACTGGAGAGGCAACAGGTACTGAGAATTCTCAAGAATCATATTAAAAACAAATTACGCTTAGAAAACCAGAAACTATATTTCTTAGAGGAATTTCTATATTAAGCTCATCAAACAGTACAAATAAGAAGCCCTTTCATACAGTGTTAGTCTTTCAGCATTCCTAAATGAAAGTTAAAGAAAAGAATTCCATAAAACCTTTCCTTCAATGAACTGGTTTGTTTCTGGTAGTTTGTGTTTGTTCACCACAAAGAAGATTGCATAGGGGAGCTGACAGTTACATGATAATGGTATAGCACAGCACCAAGGAACACGACTGAAATATTCACAGTACACCACTTCAAGAAGCTATCCAAACTGTTGTAGACGATTGTTCCAAAAATCATTTAAGTATTCAGGAAGCACTTTTATGCCTTCAAAGCAGTGTTTGCACAATCACCTTAATGATTTCCCCAAAGACCAGGTATCAGCTATCACTACCAGCCACGTAACAGAATCAGAGAGGAATGCCAATGTACAGGACAAGCAAGCAAACCCCAAGCAAAATACTCAGCAAAGCTAGAAATCAAAATCAAGAAGCCTCGAGTATCAAGTCCATCTTTAGCTTTAAGTCACTGTGACTCTCAAGCCCTGCAGCTGTCTTCTCTAGATTTCTTCTCCCCCCGTTCTATAAATTCTGCTCTATCTATAAACATAATACATACATCAAGTGATCCGGATTTACATATTGAATGGTCAAAGAAAAGAGTTACCGGCATGCACCTAGTTACGCAAGAATACACAGCATTTGTGAAGTACTACAGCTACTACTAGAGAACAATTCAACAAAAAGAATTTTATTAGCAACACACATAGGCTTCTAGCTCTTTAATGTTTAAAAAAACCCCCAAAACAAAAAAAGAGAGGGGGAAAAAAAGTCAGTAGGACACTAACAGCAGATGAGGTGCTGTTCTGTGCACTATGCCTCCCAGATTTCAGCACTCCTCTATACATAGGGGACTTCAAAGAATCAAGCTGCTTAATAACACTAATAGTGAATAACAAGAATTCGCACAACGCGTTCACAGTAACGCATGCAAACACCTTATCCTGCCAAACCACTTCCAGCCAAGAGCCGCAGCAGGTCTGCTGCTGGGAAACTGCTGCTGCGGGGCTTGCACACCCCCGGACCCTCACAGGTTGCTCGCAGACACAAGGGCAGCGCTACAGAACTATTCCTGTGCCCCCCCTGCCCCGCCGCGGGCACTCACAGCCGCCAGCCTCCCCCGAACAAAGCCAGCGGGAGCGCCGGCAGCTCCTCAGGCCGGTTACCCGCCCCTAGGGAAACTTTCCCGTTTACCCGGCTCGGATCCGCCTCGCACCCCGCCGCGGAGCCGGCGGGAAGCACCGAACCGGCCCCGCCGGGCATCCTCGGGCGCTCCCGGTGTAGCTACGGAACCCGTACAGCCGAGCGGTCCGGCCCGGTTCCCCCGGCCGGCAGCGGCGCCTCAGGGGGCGCGGGCACCGCACGGCCGCGCCGCCGCCCCGCTCCCAGCCGTTGCCTCAGGCCGCGGCCGCCCCCCCCCACCGCCGCCCCAGCCCGGCCGACAAAGCCAAGGGCTCTAGCAGCACCGGAGCCGCCCCAGCGCCGGTAGGGCGGAGCACGGCAGCCGCCGTCGGGGCGGTGCGGGAAGGGAGAGAGGGAGGGAAAGAGGGAAAGGCCGCGCCCGGGGCCCGCCCCGCCGCCCCTCCCGCCTCAGGTGCGCGGCGGGCAGCGGCTCCTCACCTGCGCTGCCGCCGCCCCCGCGCCGCGGCGGCCGCCGCCAGGGCCGAGCTGGAGCCGCGCAGTAGCAGCAGCAGCAGTACCGCTGCTCCTCCGCCACCGCGGGTCCCCGCCGGCACCATCGCACTGAGTCGCGACCGGGACCGGGATCGCGACCAGGACCGGCTGCGCCGCCGCCGCCGCCGCCGCCACCTCCCCTCAGCCGCGCGGCTGCGGCTGCCATGGAAATCACAACCACGCCCTGATTGGTCGCCGGCCTCGATGTGTCGCGGGACACGATTGGGCCGCAGTTGGAGATTGACAGCTGAGGGGGCGGGGCCGGGCGGCGGGCGCGGGGCTGGGGGGTGTCATTAACCACTGCGGGCGCGGCGGAAAACATCTGGAGCGCACAGCTGGAGCGGGGAGGGGACAGGCGGGCGGTGACGCTGGGTGAGCCCGGGCAGCTGTGCCAGACAGATGTTGGTGACTGGGAACAGCTGGATTTCATCAGGGCTCCCTCCCCCAACCCACGGCGCCATCGCTGGAGAGGAGAGGGAAGGACGGGATTTCAACTGGGGTTTAACGAGAAAAAACTCCTCGCCGGGTGCGACCCACTGGGGTGGGGGCTCAGAGGAACCATCCAAACACGCAGTGCTGTTACCGCAAACCGGCCGATAAAACTTCCTAAGACTCAATTTAAATTAAGTTTTAGAAAGGAGGCATTCCTCATTGCGGTGCCAGGTGCACAGGGGATTGTTCCTCCTGTTGTGCACCCCGAATGCTGTTGTCAAATTAAATTTATACTCAACAGAGATACATAGTCAATATAATTCCAATAAAAGGTTAGTATATTCATTACATTTCCAAGAATTCATTTACGTATTACTGGGCGTGCATA